TGTTAGTGTATTTAAAGGTCAATTGTCTTCCAACTTTGATCAAACCTTAGATGATTGCAGACCTGCTTTACATCCTGACTGCAGTCTCATGGGAGACTACCTAGCTAAGCCGCTCCAGATTCCTGATCCACAGAAATTGTGAGGTACTAAGTGTTTGCTGCTTTAGGTCACTATGCTTTGGAGATAATTTGTTACATAGAAACAGACAACTAATACTAACAGGAAACAATTATGTTTGTTCTCTAACATCTTTATCAACATTGAATATTCCTAATATATTCCTACATGTAAAAGGGAGAAAATACTATCTAATTATTTTATAATTATTAATCTCAAATGAAGCTGAACTTCTTTTATTTACTTAGCTCTTTTAATTTTTCTTGTGTATTTCCTTTTCACACCCCTTGCCCATTTTTCTGGTGAAGTGTTTATTTTTTTCTATGCTATATCAGGCTTATTATATGTTTTGATCCCTCTGTAATATTACCTTACAATGATTTCCCTTATTTATCATATTTTCCTATTTACTTTTGCTCAAACTATTTTAGATTTAGAAGGTTTTTAAAAATTCTTTTATATCCAATGAGGTCTTTTCCTTAATGTAGTCTGTCTTTGCATGCTTCTAAAAATATCTACTTACTACTCAGCTAGTTAGATGCTTTAATCCATGTTTTCTTCTATTCTCATGTTAATTTAAATCTTTAATTTAGCTGAAACTGATAAATTGCATACAGGAAATAATGTAATTTAATCTTTGCAAATGAGTAGAAGAATGGAGTAGAAAACACTCAGAACAAAAAAAAAACCTCATTCAAATAAAATACATCTATTTAAATTTCTTCATAATCATTATCATTATTGTCTACAAATTATCTATTGGTTATAGGCCAGGATCTGTACCAAATGCTCACAATGCTAGTATTAATTTCTCCATTTTGCAAATGAAGAATGGGAAGCTTAGAAAGGTTAGATGACTTGCCTAATATCATATAGCCACATAAGTAGTGGAGACAAGGTTTGTTAATAGCAGTAATCCTGTCTTTCAAAAAAATGACATGAGCTTCATTCATAATCCAGCTTCAAATAATTATAAGATTGTTCTCCATTCTATCCTTAACAAAATGGAAGTAGTGATACATATGACTAAGTTTAGAGTTAATCAAAATTTCTACACCTCTGAAAGAATGAAGTTTCTCATTAATACACAATTTTCTCTTTGAATCTAGAATAACTGCAACAAAATTATTAGTGATTGTGTTTGAGCAGGAGTTTTATAATTAATACCTGCTCCAAATTAATATTTGAAACATGAAAGTGTGTATCATTGCTAGTTAGCCATATATGGTTAAGAAATTAGAAATTTTTAAATTGACAGAAAAGAAAAGATAAAAAGGACAGAAGATAAGTATATATTTAAGCACCTACATTTGGGAAAAGAAAAGAAAAAAATATACTTAAACCTTGGTTCCATTCTTTGATGTCTGTTGGTAGGAAAAGCAAGGCACAAGACAGAATTACAACTCCCAGTAATGGGAGTCTATTGTGTTCAGATGTGTCCCAACTAAGTTCTCAGGTGCAGCTCCAAGCCACACAGCTGAAGAGACATTTTGGCACATTATATTTTTACCAAGATGTACAAGCTTCATTCTTCCTGTGACTTCTCTCCAACTACCTAGAATCTTACTCCACCTCAAAAATATGGTTATCAGAAATGTGATGAAGGATGGATGAGGGGAAAGTAGAAATGAATCTTTGAGTGAAATTATGTAGAGGTAATCTTTTAAATACCTTGACATTTTAAGGTTGTGTCAAATTCCTTGCTTATGAGCAAAAGTTAAAGATTTAGAGTCATGATTAAGCTAGTGAATACAGTCAGGATATTTGCCAGTACTATAATAAATAATTTTTTCAGGGAAAATGCTGTTATGATAAATTTTTACATTTAATTGTTATCAAACTCTCTAAATTTCTAAAATGATGTAGGATGTCACAAAATGACAGCTCAGCCATGTATTTATAAAATAGTAGAGAAAAATGCTTCCATGTTTATCAGCCAGAGTTCAGTAAGGAGATAGAAACTACATAACAGTTTACTATATAACAGTTTAAGTTTACTATAAATGATAAGCATAAATATGACAATGGAGTGACAAGTGATTGGAGTGGCTATTAAGAGTTAAAGAGAATACTCAAGAATATATAAATAGCAAATGTTATGAGAAGCTACTGCTGCTGGATCTGAGAAAAAAACACCCAAGAAAGAGGCCTGACCCAAGGCTGAGATCCAATTCATATCATAGAAGGCACATTCCTGACTCACTCAATGTCAAAGAAGTCGCTGAGGTGTCACACCAGTGGATTCACCATGTGAATGGCACATTCCATATGCCCATGGAATGCCAGTAAAAGTCATCTAATGGAAGGTGCAGAGCTGCTAACATAACTCTACTAAAAAGCAACTTGCTATGGTCTGAATGTCTCTCCCAAAATCCTTATGCTGAAACTTAATCACCAGTGTGATAGTATTAAGAGACGGGACATTTAAAAGGTGATTATGTTATGAGGTCAAAATCTTCATGGATGAGAATTATACTCTTATTAGAAGACTGAAGTGGGTTTGTTCTCTTCCATCCCAAATACCACGAGAGGACAAAGCATTCTTGTCCTTTCCAGAAGATGTGGAAACAAGGTGCCATCTTAGAAGTAGAGAGTAGCCCTCAACAGACACAGAGTCTGCTGGCATCCTGATCTTGGACTTAACTGTGAGAAATAAATTTATAATGTTTATAAATTACCCATTACTGGTATTTTCTTATAGTAGAACAAACAGAATTAAAGTACCACCCAAATGAGTTATGCTTGGATAAAGTATTCATGGGAGTATGCCCCACTGGCAGCACTCTGCTGCAAAGTTGGTCCCAAGGCAGGTAAAGGGTAGGATTGGAACTGAGAGGCAATAAATCAATAACTGACACACTATGTGTTATATGTTGAATTACATCTTTAAAAATGATAAGTTGAGCACAGCCTGGAATCTGTGAATGTGACCTTATTTGGAAATAGCGTACAGTCATGTGATCCTTGACAAAGGTGCACAAAGCTTACTTTGGAGAAAAGATAGCCTTTTTAACAAATGGTTCTGGGACAACTGGATATTCCTACATAGAAGAATAAAACTCCCATCTATTTTATCCTGCACAAAATAAATAGAGTGTGGATCAAAGACCTAGGAATTAGACCAGAAACACTGAACTGTTAGAAGACATAGGATCAACTCTCCAACAAATTGACTTAAGGACCTACTTCCTTAATAAGACCCCTAAAGCTCAAGAAATAAAACTGAAAATCAACAAAAGGGAAGGCATATAATTAAAAGGTTTCTGAACAACAAACAAATAAGAATGTTAAAGAGAGCCTCCAGAACAGAAGGAAATCTTCTTCAAGTACTCATCCAACAAGGGATTAATATCCAGAATATTCTGCTGTATGTATACACATGGATGTATAACCAATGTGATCCTGCAATCTGTACACATGAAAAAATGAGAATTCATACCCTATTTGAATCAAATGTATGATATGTCAAAATCATTGTATTGTCTTGAGCAACTAATAAAAGAAAGGAAAAAAATATCCAGAATATATAAAGAACTCAAAAATCCTAACATAAAAACCACAAATAACCCAATAAATAAATGGGCAAAAAGTTTTAAACAGATATTTCTCAAAAGAAGAAATAAAAATGGCTACAAATACATGAAAAAACATTCAATATCCTTAGCAGTCAGAGAAGTACAAATCAAAACTACAGTGAGATTTTATCTCACTCCAGTTACAATGGCAGTCATCAAACATACAAATAAGGGTCAGGCTCTGTGGCACATACCTGTAATCCCAGCAGCTAGGCTGAGGCAGAAGGATCACAAATTCAAAGCTAACTTCAGCAAAAGTGAAGCACTAAGCAACTCTGGGAGACCCTGTCTCTAAATAAAATACAAAATAGGGCAGGGATGTGGCTCAGTGGTCAAGTGCCCCTGAATTCAACCCTCAGTACTACCCCCCGCCCTGCAAAAAAAAATACAAATAATAGCTGGGGTTATAGCTCAGTGGTAGGGTGCTTGCATAGCATAGAGGGTGAGGCACTGGGTTTGAGCCTCAGGAACATATAAAAATAAATAAGTAATGTTATTGTGTCCATCTCTAACTAAAAACATTTTTTAAATACAAATAACAATAATTGCTGGTGAGGACATGGGGTAAAAGGTACACTTATACATTGTTGGTGCAAATGCAAATGGGTACAACCACTTTGGAAAGCAGTATGGATATTCCTCAAAAGACCAGAAAAGGAACTTCTATAAGATCAAACTACCCTATTCCTTGATATTTATCCAAAATAACTAAAATCAACATATCATAATAATACATGTATACCAATATTTAGCCAAGTGATGGAACCAGTTTAGGTCTCCATCAAGAAATAAATGTACAAAGAAAATGTGGAGTTTTATTCAGCCATAAAGAAGAATGTGATTGTGTCATTTGCTAGTAAATGGATGAAAATGGAGAACATCATGGTAAATGGAATAAACTAGCCTCAGGAAATGAAAGGTTTAATGTTTTCTCATTCTATTATATTGGGGAACATAATCTACCAAATAATGATATGTCCATGTATGAACATAATACAATGAATGCCACTTACATATATAATTAAAATATAATAACTAACTAAAATAATAAAAATAACAATAATAATAATAGAAGAGAGATGGTAAAGTATAATAAGTGTTTTGGGGCAAAGAAGGAAAGGGAAGTACTGGGGAATAAGATTAACCAAATTATACCATGTGCATGAACAAATATGGCATAATGAATCCCACTATTATGTATAATTATAATTTACCAATAAAAAATAAAATTAAAAATATAGTGCATATTATAGAAATATGGAAACAGAAAAGCTTTAGAATAAAAGTTGTGACATATAAAGTCTTTACCTTAGAATAAATACAGCCATCCGTTCCGAACACCCACTTCTGAGATTCATCTCCTTTATGTCTGTAATGAGAATGTAATTTAGAGATTGACACTCTTTTTCCACACAGGAACACTTGTAGGTTTCAAATAAAATTATCATTTCCATATTGCCTAGCAAGAGGACAGTCCACACTCTACCAATCTTCACTTCTATTTCAGCATCTAAAGCCACTCCATGAGACAACCAATTTCTCTGCTGTAGTACAATGCTGTGGTATCCAAAAATGTGGTGTGTGTGTGTGTGTGTGTGTGTGTGTTTGCGCGCGCGCGCGCACATGTATGTGTATTACCAATAACAGTGATGAAAAGTTTTAGAGAATAAATATAATCAATAAGAATATTATAGGAAATTATCTCCCTACCCTAAAGATCCTTTGTGAGACAAAAAGAGAAGAGCTTAATTAGGTATAAGATTTAAAAGTGGTATAGAAAAGGATACCATGAAAAATTAGGAACCTCAAGCAGCTACTTCTGAAATGACTAGAGAATCTTATTAAGAAATATCATATTCCCTGAGCTAAACCTCAGTAAGGGAAAAAATCTATAATATGATGAAGTCAATCATGCTAAAATTAACTAATCATGTATTCATTAATATTTAGAAACTTTACAAAGGTAGGACAAAATGAATTAAATTAACTGTAACAGGATGTTAAACAAGACTTTTACTACTGCCTCTGAGTTTTGACAGAAACATCCAAGGTTGAGAATAAGCGGTGTCAGGTAATGTTCAATTCTAAAAGAAGATGCTATTTGATCTGGGCACAACATATAAAAGCAGCAATCCAAAACTGGTTCAGTGCCTATCATTCTTCGCCCACATTCAGTCTACATAAGGGAATGTGAAGAGTTCATGAGTATATTGAAATGGGTGCTTAATAACAATGTAGGTCTCCAGACCCCTATCCTCAGAGATTCGATTCTGAAGGTCTGGACACCCAAAAACATATGTTAACAGATGTTGCAAGTGATCCTCATTATGGAAGCTTGGGGGATTCATGTGGTCTGTAGATCAGACTAGAGAAACCACTGAACTAGAATGATAAAAGCAGCAAGAAAAGAAAGGTCCAGATATTTAAAGTTCAGATATAATACATAGATCCTGGGGATATCCTGGCCTAGTACTCTTTTCATAGGTGAATAAGGTGAGATATGGAGAGGTACAATGAACGGCCAAGGCAGAGCAATAGGAATTATCCAAATAGGTACTAGAAGCCAGAGTCCGTCTGATTATCAGCATGCCACCATCTCAAATGGATTGGAAAAGTTTAACACAAGATTTTTGTGTTTAACTTGAAGATTGAAAATGGTATCGACATTTTAGTCTCACTGATTACAACTTGACATATAATCTCAGAGACTTACTACACATTTATATGACCATAAATGTTTTAATACAATTGTGTAAATTGTCACCACATAGTTTCATACTATAACAATTTCTCCAGAGGTACTGAGAATGTTAATATTTCAACCACTAAATGAAGAATAGCAAAAACAGTACTGCTGCTCTTTTAAGGCTGTCAATCTCAAGCTTAGAACTATACTTTATTAAATAAATTAAAAGAGTGATTGTTATACATCTTTAATGAAAATGTGTTGGGTTGTAATAAAATTTAATCCTTGTAATGTGTAAGGGGTATAGCTCATTGCAACTTTATTTCCCACAGGCAGTCCCTCCTGTTGCATAAATTATCATTAGTATATTTGTTCAAGATCAAATGAAAAATGATAGTTTTTTCAAACTATAAGACATTCAAAATCCAAAAATTTTGTCTTTTAGTTGAATTATAGTGTTGGCTTAAAAATAAATTATATTGATTTCAATTTTGACTTTCTTTTTAAAAATTTTTTAAGAGAAGGAGAGAGAGATTTTTTAATATTTATTTTTTGGTTTTCAGTGGACACAACATCTTTATTTTTTATTTTTATGTGGTGCTGAGGATAGAACCCAGTGCCCCATGCATGCCAGGCGAGCACGCTGCTGCTTGAGCCATGTCCCCAGCCCCAACTTTCTAAATTTATACCATCTTTTTCCAATAATAATAAGTACAACAGGAAAGATGTATACAAATAGACAATTGATGTGAGGGCAGAGACCAATGTGTATTCTCAGAGCCAATCACAGTGCCTAGCACATGAGATTAAGGACATCTTTAAATGTCAGAATGTTACTATCCTAAAAATTAATAATAAGGTCATTATGAAAAGTGTTTTAAAATACAGTTGGCTAGGGGACTTATGGTGCTAAAGAACATGTTACACCTTTTAAGAATGTAAGAAATAATTCTGGAAGAAATATTATAAGTTTCCAAGTATTTGTCAAATTTTATCATAGCTTCAATTCTTTTCTAGCAAATATTTGCCCAGGAAATCTTTCTAAAAATATGCAGTTTTATATCATTGATTAGCCCTGTGAGCTTAATAGTAGTATTCCTTTGGGAATTTTATTTATATTAATGAACATTACCTTTGAATTTTACTGTTGTTTTTTTTTTTCCAAATCTGTCTAGTAATGCCACATTAGGCAGGATGAGAAGCTATCATTCTAATCTATAATAACTTCCTTAAAAATAAAATTCCAACACACAAAACTACATCTGCTTATTTTTAAGATATTTTTATATGTTAAAATCAAATTTTATTCAAGATACACTGATGATACTGATTTTAAAATGATGTCAGGGATTTTCTTTTTGGCCAATAAGTAGTGAGCTAGAAAGATTTTTTTAAATAAAAACAAAATTAAAAATAACAGTAACAACATCAATAATGAGAAGAATAAAAAATGAAGGAGTAATATTCTACCCCAAAATCAGTTACAAATATCATAACTGACATAAGCTGAACTAAGGTCAACAGACCTAAGTTCAAGCCCTGGATCTGGATCTGACATTAATTAGATATACCTTTAATAGATCACTTAGTCTCTACTGGCCTTGGAATTTCTCATAATGATAATGAGTGATATCAATGATATTATCACCATCATCACCACCATTTTGTGTATGTATGTGTGTGTATCTGGGGATTGAACCCAGGGGCACTCTACCAGTGAGCTATATCCCTAGTCTTTTTTATTTTTTTGAGACAGGGTCTCAAAAAAGGCCCAGGCTGGCCTTGAACTTGCAATCTACCTGCCTTAGTCTCTGGAGTAGCTGGAATTTCTGATGTATATTATCACATGTGGCTACTATTACTATTAAGGAGAGGTCTATAGTAGATGCTCTTCAGGGTCTTCTTTCTGAAAGTATATGATTTCCAAGACTATTTTATCTCATGCTGTCATTTTACATGTGAGAGTTTTGGTAAGCTTCCCTGTCCTGGGAAGCCATTTGAAGCTGTCTGGGAAAATGGGGAACTCTCTCTCTCTTTTTGTTTTTTTTTTTGTAGTGGCTATTGAACCCAGAGGTGCTTTACACTGAGCTACAGGCCCAGTTCTTTTCACTTTTTATTTGGAAGCAGGGTCTCACTGAGTTGCTGAGAATCTCACTGAATTACTGAGACTGTCCTCTTGCCTCAGCAGCGGCACTGGGATTACAGACATGCAACTGTACCCTATTCTCAGTCCTTAAATTTAAGCAATATCAAGATAAAGTTGAGTTATTTATTATTTTTAAATAATTTTTATCATTGTTCTGGTTACTTGGTAATGACATCGGAGGCTTCCCTTCCTCCACTGATGGTCAGATACACAGAACAGAAAAAAAAATTAAAGGGAAAATATGTGCACATACTTGCTATATTGAATAAGATGACTGACATCAAATGAGACATAACTGAACTAATGAGGCATGATATGTTTACAATACTTTTTGTGAGTTGTCAGGTTGCTACTTTAAGTGCTAGTTCTATTATTTTTTTGCATATAAAAGGCTATGTCTTGATTCATAGCTTTTGTTAAAATCATTATACTACTTAGGAAAAGAGGAAATTTTTTTGTCTCTGGAAGTTGCTGTCACATAAGAATATTTATTGTTATTTATAGTGAAATATGGTTACCATAAAAAATAAGTCAGATATTTTAGATCCTCTAGAAAAGATAAATGCATTTGAGAGTGTACAACCAAAAGTGAGGCAAGCTTTAAAAATCTTGATCCTTACTGCTTTTTAAAGAAATGAAAAACAGCTTTATGATGAGATACTCTATATTTCCAAATGTTCTGCTACTTTACCTATACCCTGCAATAGATTTGTTTCCCGGTTAAAGGCAATCTACATTAATACAATAGCAAATAATCTTCATTTACATAGAGATTCTCCCCCCTTTACCTATCTCACCTCTCTCCAACCTTTACTTCTTCTTTACTAGATTAAACAAAAATCATTTATTGAAAATAGACATTTTCAAACTTAATACATTTTTTTTAAAAAAACTGTCTTCTCTTTCTTGCCCAAATTCTCTCTGCAATAAGCAACAATGACATTAAAATCTTGAAATTCAGGCCCACTCAGTTTTCTGACCATCCTGATCAGAGTGGGAAAGAGAGTTCAATAGGCTAAGACTAAGTCAGCTAAAGAAATGTTGCACAGCCAGGCACAGTGGCACCTGCCTGTAATCCCAGCAGCTCAAGGGACTGAGGCTGGAGGATTGGGAGTTTGAAGCCAGCCTCAGCAACTTTTAATATTTTTTTAAAGGGCTGGGTTGTGCCTCAGTGGTTAAGTGCCCTTTGGTTCAATCCCTGGTACCAAAAGAAAAGAAAAGTAACATTGCACTACTTTCAATATGCATTATATCTAGTGAGGACCCTGGGCATGATAAACATGTCCATCAAGCTATAAGCTTCCTAGCACCTACCATTTTGACCTTGGCCATTGATCAGTTCTCCCACTGAGAAAGGCTTTCTTTCAGCATCTTCCTCTAAAGCAACCACTCAGTCATTCCCTACTCATAATTTTCAGTTTTTGTTTCTTTCTTGGTTTGTGTCTTAGTCTTTTTATAACAGCTTTATTGGAAAATAATTGATGTAGAATTTGTCAGTTCACAATTGAGATATATTTAAAGAATAACATTGGTGTTT